ACCCAATAGGTTCAAAGGGTCACAAAGTGTGAGGTTTGAACAAATTGGATAAATTGATATCACCAAATTTAGAATAAGGGTGAAATCTAAGAAAATTAAAGATCAATGATAAATACGATAAAAGACATGCTATATCCAAACATAAATATATCATTAAATGCAATTTTTGTGATGTTTCCAAAGAGAGAAAGTAAATGCCCATAACAATAAAAAAAGGTACTCACCACATACAGAAGGAAAAAAAGGTGATGACTAATAGCTATAAAGGTAAAGCTAAAAAAACAATCACACAAAACTTTCTGTTCAACTTAACATTTATTTTTGTAAAACTACTTATTTTGATTATTTCGTAACAAACAAACAATATGATTCCAACACATTTTGTGGCACAAAAAATATATTTTAATAGAAAATGGGTGACAAGAGAATTTAAAGAAACCAAAGGCGTCATGCATAAAGTTAAATGTAAAAGAACGAGTAATTTGACCATTAAAATAAATATGAAAAGAAAACTTAAATTTTAGAGGGCTTTTAATGTTAAAGAAAATTAAAGGTATAAAATGTTGATTTTAAATTTTACAGAAATTGATTACAGCTATGGATTTAATTTAAAATAAAGGTTAAGAAAAAATGTAAAAGGAAATCCCTCGATACGGACCGAAGTCCGCATCGCGGAGAATTTAAAAAAAGGTAACCTGCCCGAAGGCTCGAGAAAAAGAGAGTGTATTAAAAAGACTTAAAAATTCCTTAACTGGTATAGGACCAGAAAAATTACGGCCAATTAAATTTAAAGCGGCGGAGAGTTTGAAATTTAAAGGAAAGAGATTGGTTAGTTAGCCCCCTTAAAATTAAAAGAAGAAAATGAAAGGCGTGAATAGAGGGGTTGGTTGACTTTCCCCACAGGAAGTGCGATGACCGCAATGACCATGAGAAAGGTCAACAAGAAAGTTAAAAATAAAATTGCTGAATAGAAAAAAAGGAATAACGTTTAAAGAAAAATTAAAGGCTTAGGTAAAATTCGAAATAAAATTGTCACATTACATTAAGTGCAAATGTGACATATACATATTTACATAATTTTCGAAACTATCTCATCACTAATCATTCATTTAATGCATTATAATAATACATAAAAAAATTTACTCAATTTGCACCATATTATATATTTTTTAAAATGTAACATATTATTTTATTACTTTTTTTAAAATGTTACATATCGCTCATGGGCTGCAATAGTGGCGCAACTTAAAAAGCATGCGTTTTGGACTAACAGCAGGTGTAAATATGAAAATACACATTCTTTCAGCAGCAATACTTGCACAACTCATAATTCAACTCGAAGGTAATCTTCGTTTAAGCAAACGAAAGTATTTCTTATGCATTTTGCTTAGCGATGAAAACTTTAAACCCACTTATCTCAAAACTTGATTTTTTGAGTTGTGCCGCTATTGCAGCCCATGAGCGATATTATTAAATTTTCTAAAATGTAACACATGCCTTTCTGCTTCGGTTTTATTTGGGTGCTGAAGTTCTAGAGTGGATGAGGTTTTGGATTTGTCAGTGGTCTACTTCTTTCAATGAGATTGGCTTTGATTTCGTCTTTCAGAGTATGAACGTTGCTATTAGCTTTTAATGATAAAAAAATAAATTGCTACTTTAAAGAGGTTTTCATTTGATTGCTCCTTTTATGTAATTTAGAAATGTTTATTTTAACGTAAATTTTTGAATGTTCACATTGTGATACAAAGTTATGCCTTATCATCAACGAATAATACTTGAGAACGTTCCTCTGCGATCATTATTTATTATCATATGTAGGACTGGGCGATATTAGAAATTATGCATCGTCAGTTTTGCATTGCGATATAGCGATGTATCGCGATATAGTATTTTTGAATTTCATTTACTTGTAAGGCACAGAAAATCAGATTTCTATCGAAACTTCACACTCAAATTGATTTAAATCAATTTATAAGTTTGAAGATGTATATGTTTTGCTTAAGAAAGTTATTAAATAAATTGACTACTATGCACAAATCTTACTTAAAATATTTATTGAAAAAATGTGTAGATACAGAATGAAATATTTGCACCTCTTTATCGTTTATAAGGTATTAGCAGTTTAATTAAGTACCTAATTGCCTTAATTATGAATTAATTTAGGTAATTTTTAGGTAACTTTACTAAGTTTTTAACTAGAAATAAAAGAAAGTTTAAAACGATAGGTTTATGAATTATTTGAAAATCAATTAGTTAAAGCGAATGAAATTTTGAAAAAAAAAAGTTTAAAGTCACAAGAAATAATTTTACTAAATGAGCCATATAAAAATAATTTTGATAATTACATAATTATTAAGTTCGATTGTAATGCTCAAATTCTAAATGAAAAAGTAAACGCAAGTTTTGTTATATTTTCTAAAAATGATCACGCAAATTACGAAAGATTTCTTAATTTAAAGATAAATAATAAAAAAATAAATAAAATAGAAATTTATCAATATATTTACCTAACAATATAGAAAGAAAATTTAAAAAATAAGCTCGTTAAAAATTATTTGTATGTTTAAAACAAAAAACAAAAGAATTGTAATATTCGATAATATATTTAGCTAATTAACTAATAACATTAAAGGAAAATTAAAAAAAATTGATTGTACTCTCTAATAAAACGAAAAAAAAAATGAATAAAATTTGCAAACCTTTCAAATTTTTTTGAATAAACAAAGTTGATTGACTTATGTCCAAATCCAAATGACAAAAAAAAAGTTTTGTTCTAACTTTATTTCTAAAAATAAAAACAACTCAAGATTTATAAATTTAAAATCAGTAATAAAAACCCATTAAATTAATAGAAGTTTTATCCAAAATTTTTTTAATAAATTAAAAGAAAGTAAGAAAAAAAAACTGACAAATTTAATTACTTTGTAATTTAATTCCTTATGGGCGCCTTAAATTAGATTTCCGATAATTTTCACATTTAAAAATAAAAAAAAGTTTTGCTAAAAAAAATTACCTAATTAATGACAAAACTCTTTATATATTCTTTTCAATAATAGATTGCCTTCAGCTTCAGAACAAGGCAACGGCAGCGATCACAAAATTAGTCCCACTGAAAATAATCTACAAGAAACGATATCAAGTCGCAACAAAGAAAATTAAGAGGTGCGAAAACGGACATGCGAGATCACGATATATGTTCTCAAAATTCTGATTCTACCGCTAATCAATCAAGGCCATTTCAACATAACGAAACGAACACCCCCAGTCTGCATCGGAACGTAAGGGAAGATCCTTGCGAGTCTTATATCACTATATCGTTTTGCGCTCGTCGTCTTTCCTCGAAGGCTTAAATCAGATTTCTGATGCATCGCCTGGAACGAAAGTCGCTGTATCGACTTGCCGATATAGGCATTAAATCGATATGTCGCGATATATCGATTTATAGCCCAGTCCTAATCATGTGTATTTTTCAAAGTTTCTTTCCAGTGGTGTCCACTATGACCTATGAACTTGTTTAGAAAGCAGTTGAGTTTGCAAGATTTAAATAGGAAACACTCTACAAATAATTTAATTCTGTTATATGATAAATTTTATAAACGAAGAAAATAAAAATCTTTATTGATGACTCACCGAAAAGCATTTATGTAGTAACTATAAACATTAGCACTTATCATTTTTCTTTTTAACAATTGTTTACTTTATTTATTTACAATTATTTTAGTATCAAATTGAAAGAATTAATGACACATGGAAGGCATATAAATATGTATTATATTCAACATTGGAGCGAATTTAAGAACAATAAAATTGAAAGAAAATTAAAATGTTTAAACCAAAATGTATTTTACTGATGGTCCTAGGAAAAAATAGTCTTTCTTTCTCATTTCAAACACCCGAAATACTTAATGAATAAAAAAAAAAAAAAAGAGAAAACATAAACATCTTAGCATTATATTGAATTGAAATAATCTAAACACTTAAACGATGAAAAAGAATTTCTCAAATTTAAATAAATATAAAAACGGAAAACGAAATAAACTGACCTTTACAAGTTAAACTGATCATCTTTGCGGGATGTTGCAATTGGTCGGCAAGTGTTGCCATTTTGCCACACTCTGAAAAAAATAGTGTCAGATGAACCTGCATTCGATTTTTCGAACGAGGAACTGCTCGCGCATGAGCTAACTGTTTCAGAGTGCAAAAAATCGCATTCCCGAATTGCATGAAGAATATAATAAAATATCCAATAGAGATCACTCTAACAGAGTGACCTCTATTATATACACTGATGGACAAAATTAAGAGATGGAAAGCATTTTCGCATATTCATTCTCACATTCAAGATACCCGCACACCGCTCCATGTGTTTGACAATGGTTCCGTGAATGCCCAGAGGTACAGGCAGGAGGTCCTAGAGCCCTATGTGCGTCTTTTCAGGGGCGCTGTTGGCCCTGAGTTCATTTTTATGGACTACAATGTGCAACTACATAGGGCTCTTATGGTTGATGAGTATCTGGAAAGCGAGGATATTCAACGAATGGATTGGCCAGCCAAATCCCCTGACCTTAATCCTATTGAGCATGCTTGGGATGCTCTTGGGAGAGTTATTGCGATGCTCCAACCTCCCCCCAGAACCATTCTGGAGTTAAAAATTGCTTTGGTGGAAGAATGGGAGGGTCTTCCACAAGTCCTCCTTAACTCCCTTATTAACAGCATGCATACTCGTTATGCATGCTGTCTGTCAGCGGTGACCATACACCATACTAGAGGCAACACACACTGTACAAGCCTCACTTTTATTGTCATCTTTTATCCTTAAGTTCAGACTACACTGGATTTATTGGCAATAGGTCTTGCCAGTGAATGGCACTTTCATTTTTGTTTTGCATACTTTATTATCATGGAATAAGCTATATCCATCCCAAATTTTATTTATTTATATTCAGCATTTTTTGAGATATTTGGGAAAATGTCTTCCATCTCTTAATTTTGTCCACCAGTGTACATATACATAAAGCATGATACGTTTAAACCAGTTTATCGAGGGACCGCCTTTAACCAAACACCATTTCCTGGAAATAAGGTATATACATGACACACAGCTGTAACAGAGTCTTCGGTTTTTACACAAGTCTTCAATTCAAAGTTTTTAACTATTTTGAATATTGCCATCTTTGCTTCTAACAGCGCAAACCGTTCCCCAGCGCAATTTCTTGGACCTGCTCCAAAAGGAAAATAGGCCATGTTTGGAATGGATCCCTTGTTTATTGGAGAGAAGCGATCAGGATCAAACTTTGAAGGATCTTGCCATAAATTTGGGTCTCGGTGAATATTCCAAACAGGAGCTAAGACATTCGCCCCATTCGGTATAGTATAAGACCCAATTTTGTAATCTTTATTGCAAGTTCTTGATATGAACCCTGTTATTGGTGGATACAGACGGAGAGACTCACTAAAAACTTGGTCCAAATAGGTCAAACCTAAAAAATTTTTTATGATAAATCAATTTTATTGACTTCATAGCAGAGATATGTATAGATATGCAATAGTTTTTAATTTCACGCATAGGTACTGAAATAAAATGATAAAATTTTTTTTTTGTTAAAATTAATATTAAGTGACTCAGTTTATTGGCTAATTTTTTTGAAGACCATATTTTTGCGGTTATACCCTGTATTTCAAGATAAAAAACTAAGAATCCGTCGACAAAAAAATTATGATAAATATTTTATTTTTTATATATACCTAAACGTGGTGTATACAAAAAATAAAAACAGAAAAATATAAGAAATAAAAACGCGGTATGTGTAAAAATAAAAACAACACATTTTAACCAATGGTGTTAAAATTTTTCGTTTGCATTAAATTGAAAGTGTCGTCCTGAAAACATTAAAATTATTTATATTATAATTTAGTTCACAAAAATACATTCATTAGGTAAAAAATTACTAAATACAAATAATTTTTTATTTTTGTCTTGAATCTTTAAAATTAGCGACTCGTCCAAAATCCACTATAGTTTTTCAAATCTGAGTGATCCCATTTAACTGAGAAATGTAAATGTTGTTCAGGTTCTGTCCTTCATTATGCCGCATACTCACATCAATTAGATACCTGGACGTAAACTGGACATAAGACCATATCAAATCCGGGCTACGGGAATCAAAAAATCTCAACCCTGCCGATCTCCATAATTGTGTGTTAGTCCAACTAAAGATAACACCCACGAATTGATGTAAGAAAGCCTACCTAGAATAACATGATTTCTTGCTCTTAACGGAATGCCAAGAATTGGTGTCTCATGTATTTCTGTTAATTTAAATTTTGAATGGAAATAAATTTTACACCGGTATTGGCGACTAGCTTATTCATGTTGAACGTCGGAGAAACTACAAAAATGCTGATCATCAAGCTTTCAATTTGTAACTTTATAAGACTGAAGATTTCTCAAGATGAAGTGCCAGGTTCATGGCAGCTTAATTCCATAGAATTTAGTTACGTAAATTTTGCTCAACCTGTAGCCTATATAACAGTATTGAAGTTCCAAATGGAGAAATAACGTACTCTGTAATGTAGAAAATGTACTATCTTTAGCTTGTTGAATTTCTTCATATAGACGGTTTTGTATTTTTGGGTGTTTCGCTAATAAGTAGAATGTGAAGCCCAATGAGTTGGATGTAGTGTTATAACCTGCTAAGAGCACGTTACAAGCTGCAGCTATTGCTTCATCTTCTGTCAGCTTCGTTTTACTCCCTTCTGCAAATAGAAACAAAAATATGAGTTAGGGCACTGGTTTAGAAATTGAATTTTGTTAATAAAATTTTTTTAGAATTGATGAAGAGAAAAAAAATGTGTATTCGCATATCGTCGACTTCATCTGTTAATGAACTGTGACTTGCCAGTCGATTGCGAATAGAAACAGCGAGTAAATTGCAAACTCCTATTTGGGATTTATGAGTTCGATGTCTAAATAATAAAATAGTGTATAATCTTACCCGATGCAGGGTGATTTGGGGGAGGGGATTTGTATGAATTCTACCTCTACACTACTCTTTTACATATCTGAATTGCTCAGTGGTTAGAGTGAAGAGAGATTATTTGCTTTTTTTGGCTTTGATTTTCTATGGCTGAATGTCTGATTGAATATTTTGACTCCATGTCTTTGCTATGTTACTCGATGTTGTGTTTTTGTTGGTATCAAAGCTGAAAAAATCCATATATGGTAGAATGATTAAGAGATTGATAGATCGAATGATTACTAGGCACTATTACGTACTATCATTTATTCTATATAGTGCGTGAATGCATCAGTTTCGTTTTAAAATAATCAGAAGTGTCACCCTTAAGTTTAGTGGGATTATCACTAAGGGTGAATTCCACTAGGTCACTTAAAGATCCTTAAAGTATCTTTAATGAGATATAAAAACTCAGATTGTGTCTGTCAATGAATCGAAACGGCCTACAGACGGAGCTCAGACAAATTTTTACCTATGGTAACACTTGGGGACTTTTAGCTGTAATGTGAGAATAAGGGTGTATGGTAGTTTCGGTCTTGATTTTGGAACCAAATAAAAAACTCAAAGTTTTAAATGATATTCGCGATTGCAACGCTTGAATACGCCATCTGGGGGGAAGATCTGTTCCATGTCTTGACCATCCCTCCTTTCCTCTCCTCCTTTTCTCAATTGTATAGGTATGTACTACGATATTTTTCGTATTTAACTGTCAAAAATATTTTTTAAAATTTTCACGATGCCTTCTTTAGAACTATGCTCAATGTAGTTTTCAGTTCCATATAGTTTTCTAACTTAAAAGTTTTTAATCTATTTAAAAATCAAGACAGAAACTAAGGTATTTCCTTCTCCTATGACTCTCCACATGCTAATGGTGAAAGCATGCGAATTGTTGCCATAGGTAGAGAGTTCTGCTCTACGCAACATGTAGCCATTTCAATCGCCAATACGGAATATTTTAAAATCTATTTTTGACAATCCAAAAACGAAAAATGTTGCGAAAGGGGAAAAAAAATTCAACTATGTTAACACAATACTGAGCAGAAGAAGAAAAGGAAAGTTAAAGGTTCAAGATATGAAATCAGTCTTCTTCACTGGCGCAGTATTCGCGTGTTGCGATCGCGAACTGGTTTGGTCAGATGGTTAGTAGAGAATTTTTGAATTTAAACTGGAATTTAGAGAGTGGACATTAATTTATCCATGTACACTGGCGTGGATGATTGCAAAGGAAACGTTCGTGTGGTAATGACTAAATTCAAACATTTGATTTCATAGTTAAAATGTTAGGTTTCAATAGTGTTTTTAAATTTTTTTTTCTCTAACCTAAATGAGAAAGATTGTTCATACGTTTCGATTGTATTTTGGCTCATGTAACTTCATTCGGGTAACATATCCTAGCCTTTCTTTGCCTTTAATACACCCTAATAGTGACAGCAATAAATTACAATGCATACAAACGAATTCACGTTATTGTAATTACAATAACCTGGACTGAACCGTAATAGGATCAATATTCACAATTCTGACGGATAAGGACAAAAGAACCATGCTTTTCTTAGATAGATTTTATTTAGGTTCATTCAATTCAATCGGTATTTTATAGCGATTACTCAGCCCATAGTCATTGTTTTTATAGTTTTGTCCGAATAAATTTATATTTTTCAACCACTATTCAGCCTAGGTAATACCCCTATATAATACACAGCTTGAATGGAGTGGAACCTCTTAACTGTTTCGTTTTCATTGATAATATTTGCCTCAAATCAGGGATATTTCCGAAGTCAGGAAAAAAGTTCAATTGGTTCTATTACGCATCGATCTCAACTTTGTGTTTATTTGAGAAAGAGAGTAACCTCTTCAGCACGCTTCAGAACCGGTTTTTGTTTATTTCCAAAGCAAATATGCGTTTTAGATTTAAACTTGGTTAAGCGTTAACTTTGCAGAATGAAAGGTTGACTAGTTGTCTATCATCCGAGTTTATCTACTTTCTTTGAGTCAACCAATCTGAACGTCCTAATTTTGATCCCTCAATATATGTTCTTGTAGGATCATTTAGAGAAGAAAAAAAACAGACACTGGCCATGCTTAATATTAAATAGCATATTTGATCTCGAAATAGTAACATGGTTTTTCAAAGCTCTTTCGCCAATGAAAATAAAAAAGGGACAGTTTAAGTGTACATTTGAAGCAAAGATATAATTTTATACTATATTTACCATCTTGCTGTAAAGAATTATCTGGGTTTTAGAGCGGACAAATAACTAAAATATTTTAAAAGTTATTAAACTTTTTTAAAAATCTCCAATTTGGCGACATTTCTCCACCTAAAGAAAAATTATCAAAATCAATGACTTATTCACATTTTTTGCAAATTTTTATGAGTCCAGATAATGCAGCATTAGAGTAAGTTTTTAAATATTAAAAAAATTAGACGCCAAGCGGTTTTCATTTTCTCAAAACTGTGGCTCTTCTCCATTCTCCATATTGACGTTTAGCGAAATTTTCAGATTAAATATAGAGAACAGTGGCTAAACTTGACCTAACAGCTTTAAGGAACTGTTGTAAACTCAGATCAGTTATGCAAGTAGTATATTATTTTCTAAAACGCATCATTTCATGTGACTACAGACAACACCTCCTAGAAAAGAGCAGGCCGCGTAGTACAGGTTACCGTAAATAAGACAATTGATTCCTTAGTAGTTCAAACGTAATGATATTTTTCGTATTTTCCACCACTGCGCAGCAGAAATGACATCTTTCTTATTTTTCCTCTACTGCGCAGTTTAACTTCGTTACATCAAACTACTAAATTGATCCGTGCTGAGGCCTTCCTTCTTCTAGGAGGTATTGCTACAGAGCTTTCGAAAAACAGCCTTAAGATAGCTTTTTCACATTTGGCGGCGAATTCAAAAAGCCTGCTCAATATTAATGAGATAAACATACTTGAATCGGCATCACAATTATCCAGCAAAGACTGCAAAATGTCATGGCTCCTTAGATTTGGGTTTTTACGTCTCTCCTTTATAACACACTTTAAGTGATTTCCTATAGTGTTCAGCGATCTTTTAAAGATGAACATATCGTCGAAAGAATGCAATATTTTTGAGAGGAAGGGGAAAAGTGTACTTATTTCTTCTACAGGGTTGAACTGATATATAAAGGTGTCCTTCACCTAATAAAAAAAGAAAGAAGAAGAAATAAGGGCAAGAATATTTTAAAAATATTTTTGATATTCATGTCGTTTCTCTTTTTCAGTACGTTGTTTGCTTTTTAATGTCAGGCAATGAAATTTCATAGAGAAGCAAATAAGATAAGCAAAACAAGGATATGATATGGTAGTAAATAGCTTTGATTTTCTAAATTTATATTTTGCCATAAAAATAATTATTATTTTTCGGGAATGATCAATTTTTATTTCATCTAAAAAAAAAAAACCTTTTGTAGTTGAAGTGGTGAGTAGATAAAGGGTTTAATTGACATTTAAATTAATTTGAAAAAAAAATAAAAACAATCTTTATAATACTATATTTAAGTGCTGACTAGATAAAGGGTTTAAATGATATTTAATGAATTTGAAAAAAAATAAATTTTTATAATACTATATTTAAGTGCTGACTAGATAAAGAGTCTATATGACATTTAAATTAATTTGAAAAAAAAAAAAAAAAAAACCCCAACAATCTTTATAATACTATATTTAAGTGCTGAGTAGATAAAGAGGGTTTAAATGACATTTAAATGAATTTGGAAAAAAGATGCAATCTTTATAATACTATATTCAAGCTCTGATTATATAAAGGGTTTAAATGAAATTTAATGAATTTGAAAAGAAAAAAAAAACAATCTTTATAATACTATATTTAAGTGCTGAGTAGATAAAGGGTTTAAATGACATTTAATGAATTTGAAAAAAAAAAATAATTTTTATAATACTATATTTAAGTGCTGACTAGATAAATGATCTATATGACATTTAAATTAATTTAAAAAAAAAAACCCAGCAATCTTTATAATACTATATTTAAGTGCTGAGTAGATAAAGAGGGTTTGAATGACATTTAAATGAATTTGGAAAAAAGATGCAATCTTTATAATACTATATTCAAGCTCTGATTATATAAAGGGTTTAAATGAAATTTAATGAATTTGAAAAGAAAAAAAAACAATCTTTATAATACTATATTTAAGTTCTGAGTAGATAAATGGTTTAAATGACATTTAAATAAGTTTTTTTAAAAAAAAAACAATCTTTATAACACTATATTTAAAATGCATATAAATTTCTCTTTGTCAAAATTGTTCAAACATTTCTGACGTTAGAAGCATGCTTTTAAGATCCCATAAGAAAAAGTAACGTGGTAATAGTTAAAAATGCAGTGCAATATAGTACAAAAATTCCACTAAGCATTTTTGTAAACAAAAATGAAAACAAGGACACGAGCGAACAATTATATTTTATTTTCAAAAAATTTAAAACTGTTAAAATGTTCGAAAAATCTTTAGGTAATGGTTTTAGGTAATGCGTAAAATATAGTTAAAGATTCGAAAAAAAAAACTTTTAGGGAAATTATCTATAACATCATAAATATAAGATTGAAATCGGCTGAAAAGTTTCTGAGTTGAAAAACATGGTAAATTTTTCAACATTAATTATAGCAATTTCTTAAGAACTTCCTATTTTGAAAATTGTTTTTGGGCATTCACTTAGTTTAAGCTTTCAGATAAATTCGATTTTTAGAAAGAAATTTCAGGGTTATTTTCTCTCTTAAGAATGATCTTCGAATCTTTTCCCCCAAAGGAAATTAAATTTAAAAAAAAAAAAAAAATAGTGCGTGGAGTCCTTTCGCGCGGAAGAAGTGAAACTTCGTAATGTAGAAATGAAAATAGGAAGGGGTAGAAATTGATTTTTAGTGAAATCATATTGTTTCTTTAAGACAAACTTTATTAACAATGCTTACGATTCACAATTGATCGGATCTCTTAGTTATCATTTTCGAGTGGAGAAATATCCAAATCTATAACATTTACACTGGGATTATGATAACTAAAGTAAGATACGAAATGTTTGAGTTCCATTTTTTCAATATTTCTTGCGAAAACTGCATCAATGGTAGTTACCCCTTTGGTTGTTGGATCATTCCTACCATTTATCATTTCCAATCCAAATTTGTCTTTAAGGAAGGTTAATAATGTTTCAGCTTCAGGTAACGAGAAATTCACATTAAAATCTCCTGCAAGGATCACAGGCCGCTCACAATAATCAATTTCTTCACCAGTAACGTGTGCCAGCGAGCTTGTGAACCTGGCTATAAAGATTTTGCAATAAATAATTTAATATCCCTCAAGGCTGCATTTGGTGAAATATAAATGGCAATTAGAAAAGAGAAAACCTAACAATCAATTGATATTCACAAGAGACGTACCTTGACATAACCTTAAATCCGTCGCATTGTTCGTGGGATTGTTTTCACTCATTTTTTACAAAATAAAAAATACTACTCTATTAAATTTTATGTGTATCAAATCAAACTAAAATATTTATAGAAAAACAATACTTTTAGGACTTTTATTATTTTTATGCTAGTGAGAACCAAAACAATATGGAAATGAATGAGGGAATCCTACCACGTGATTTCCCGGCCAATAAAATTGTAGTGTTAAACGTTTAACGCAACCTTGTTGGAAGTCGCATAAGAAGTATCACTTCAAAAAGCGATTTTTTAAGTACTTAAACATAAAGCATTATTTTTAAACCATATGCTAGCTTGCTGAAAAAATTTCTCAAGAAATTTAATTATTTAAATAATCATTAAACAAAATAAAAAAAAAACATCACAATATAGCCAAGATTTTTCTATTTAATGAAAATTATTAAGATGTAACAAAATTTGAAGTAAATTGTCATATATTGAAAGAAAATGTAGTAGTTCTTTTCTATATTGATATATTGTACCATTTTCATAATTAGTGTGGAGGGGCACTAAATAATGATGATAGTTCACATATAATTGTTACCTTATCATAATAGCAGTAAAAATAACATATTATTCAATATTGATATTTTGTGTCATTTTCATAATTAGTGTGAAGGGGCACCAAGTAAAAAAAAATTGATCACGAATAATTGTTGTTTTATCATATTAGCAATAAAAATAGCATTATTATTCGATATTGACATTTTGTGTTGTTTTCATAATTAGTGTGGAGGGGCAATAAGTAAAGAAGATAGTTCACGAATAATTGTTGTCTTATCATAATACCAATAAAAATAGCATATTATTCAATATTGACATTTCGTGTTGTTTTCATAATTAGTGTGGAGGGGAAATAAGTAAAGAAGATAGTTCACGGATAATTGTTGTCTTATCATATAATAGCAATAAAAATAGCATATTATTCTATATTGACATTTTGTGCCATTTTTATGATTAGCCCTAAACAATAATGATAGTTCACGTATAATTGTTTACGCATAATAGAAATAAAAATGGCATATTCTTCACGGAAAAAGAGCGTTATTTCAAATGGCGAGAGAGACATAGATGTAACTTACTGCTTGAAGTAGGTCATCTTTCGGATTTTCTTGAATGCTTTTCTTCATAGCGAGTGCACATGCTGCTATTACGTCCAATGTTAAGGCTTGCATCATGGTATGAATATCGAATATTTCGTTATTTTTAGCTTTATCCCGTATTAAATCAACCGTTAGATTCACCTAAATTAAAATAAGAGATGCTGCAATCACATTTTTATTTCTTACATAGATAGTGCAAGGTGTGGTACAATAAAGTACAATAAATACATAGTACAAGGTGTATTATGATTTACAGGTCTATTTTCTGACCAGGTGATAAAATTATCAGTGTTGATGAGTATCACCAGAATGACGTACCCCACAGAAAATTTATCAAGAAATTCTGAAATCCTTCAAACTACTCTGCAAACTATGTAAAATAGAGATATAAATTATTCTGATGCAATTTATCACTGGCATTTTTTTATTACCCGATTACAATTAAAGATTGATATTTGGGTGAAGAACTTATTGAATTTTCTTAGAGCCTTTCAAAAAATAAGATTGCTCCGTGACGGAATCATGTTAACTGTATTGAGTTTCGTTTTGATTTTTTTCGTTAAACCGCAAAGTTGCATTATATTACCATTTACACCGAAGTTGTATACATTATTAACGAACTCACCTATTTTTTAAAAAATATATAGATAAAAAAACTTTATTTTTGGTTCATTTTCAAAATTTTTTTACTAAAAAGAACATTTTACCATGATAATTTACATTTTATCAAAAATATTAACTGTTTATTTGGCCTATATTCCAATATGTATAATTCTCTTACGTGGCTCCCAAATTTTGGCTGTATATCTTTTCCGCGGTGGTAACGTTTGCTTTGTTTTGTTTACGTTACTATTTCTATTACACGGCGAATCGACCAATGATTGCTGCTAAAAATGTCATATGCCAAATCTAGCTGAGGTGGCTCAACATATAGCGCTTTTAAAAACGGAAACTGAAATAACCATGAGCGTCAGCTGCGGCAATCTCATACTATTAAGCTAGGCAGAAATGAGTAGTCTTTGTCGATAGATCTCTATTTTAATATTTTGTCGAAAGCGTCTTTTTCACGATTTTAGGCTCCCAAATTTTGACTGTATTCCTTTTCCGCCGGTGGCAGCGTTTGCTTTGTTTTGTTTAAGTTACTATTTCTCTTACACGGCGAATCGACCAATGATTGCCGCAAAAATGTCACATGCCAAATCTAGCTGAGGTGGCTCAACATATAGCGCTTTTAAAAATGGAAACAGAAATAACCAGAGAGCATCAGCTGCGGCAATCTCATACTATTAAGCTAGGCAGAAGTGAGTAGTCTTTGTTGATAGATCTCTATTTTAGTATTTTGTCGAAAGCGCTTTTTTTCACGAATTTATATATTACGAATTTATTTGACGATTTTTGATTTATATCACGAATTTATTTGTTTTACTAGAATTTATTTGTTTATGCAGGTTTTTCCATTGCAATTCACTTATTTCAATTTTTAATAGACTTAATTATAGCCAAAATTTTAACCTTTTTAAAGAGATATCAGTTTTAGAAATTTTATCTTAAGATTTTATACTATAGCACATTTCTAATAGGTTTAACGAATTACATGTCATTTATTTGAATTCAAATTTATTTTAATGACTTAGTATTTACTAAAAAGATGTATTTTTTTTTTTAAAAAAAAGTTGTTATATGGATTTGAATGATTGTTTTGAATTCTTAGAATTTTGTGCATTTGCAATGTACCCAAGTTAGTAGCGAGCGAAGCGAGCTTGGTTTGCGAAGCAAACTATATAAGATTGCGTAGCAATTTTCGGGGGTTGTCGAGCGTTAGCGAGCAGGGGGTGCAGCCCACTAGTTGAATAAATAACTTCACAAAAGACCAAATATAGCTACTGTTTTTTTTAAAGCAGCTTATTATTTTTTTAAACATATTGTTATTGAACATAACTGTTGCGTATAATAGATATTTTTAATTGCTAAAATTAATTTTTACTATTAAAAATACCTATTATATTTTAATAGTAAATATCTATTATATTTTTTTAATTAATTAATTTAAAATTAATTAATTAACAAAAAATAACACATACCTCTAGATTTAAGCTTACGTCAGCTAAAGATGATGATAAGTTGATGATGATAAGTCATGATAAGTTAAAGAGAATTTTTTCTTTATTATTTTTATTTCTTTAAATAAATTTTGGCTGTCACGCAATCACAGATTAATATCTGTATGTTGTAAATTTCTAACTACATTAGACACAGGGACTCTAACCAGGTCTAGAGAAGCCGGGCGTAAATTTCTTTGTAGTCAAAAATAGAGAAGTTTAGCATTCACGCTTAGGGTCCCAGGTTTCGTAGGACAGATCGACGTTACAAAACATCAGATTATAGCGAGCGCTAACCCCTGATAGGTCAATTTGTGAGCTAAACAGCATACGTCATCGAACGCTCAGCTTGAACGACGACTGACGTGCAAATCAACTGCAGTTGGATTACAACGTAACGTTAACGATAGAAGCAATGGCGGACAACATCCAACAGAGCATTGAAATCAGCCGAGATTTTGATTTTAACATTAAGCATAGCTTCTTCTTCATTTAGCTAAGCTATAATGTTTTTTTTCTTACACAAAGTTATTATTTGTTCTCTAAAGCACTGGTCGACAATAAAAAAATCAATAAAAATCCAAAATAAATATTTGTTTACGTTATTAACGGCGCGGTTACCGTGAAACAGCCTCAATTCTCTACAGAGCTTATGTAGACCGTTCGTACAGGAGGCTAATTCACAATCCAACGGCCTTTAACGAGTCGAGCTTTTTTTCTTCTTTTTTTTTTCGTGAGATTTTTTTTTTGGTTATAGTTGGTCACTATTATAAATTAAGCTTTTATTTCTTTTAAAATTTTTACTTGAATTTAAAAAAAAAAATCAAGAATCAAATTTTTTTAATTTTTTTAAAAATTTTTCATTTTATTTTATTTTTTTTAAGAAAATGCCAAACAGGAAGAGCTGATAATTTAAGGTCGCTGGAATGGAAAAATCTCGTACAGGAGCTAACGGGTTGCTATGTGAGAGTGCGAAATCTATCTATTGATTTTTGCCTTTCATGAGAGTTTAACGATATTCTGTGACCCTTTTAATGGTGAACTTTTTCTTTGGGTCAAAACTAAACTTACCTTCTTAGAGACTACCTCTGTCATTAGTTTAATCTTTGCCGAAGAGAATGCTGGTGTGACAATATTTCGAACTTCCTTCCATCTTTTATCTCGAAGACCAACCAGCATTTTAGGAAATGGATCAGTTTCCATAAGGAACTTCGGTTTATTAGGAAATATATTGAAATCTTTGAAAAAAATCTGAAAAGGGAAAGAAAAATAATAATTCATAGTATTATTTAGGGCAATTAATAAACCTCAAAATTTTACATGCCATGTTGGGCATGCAACATACATGCCCGGATGAGATTTATGCATTTCTAAATATTTCTCAAACAACATCAGCACTTTTGTTTTATGTATAAGTCATAAGCATTAAATATTATTAAGAAATTAAAAAATTAAATATGATTTAAAAAATAAATCTTAAGAACGAATAAGCATTGACGGAGTAAATACAGAAAACATTGTTATTAAAAAAAAACAAGCATTAATATCAGAATAACTAAGTATTAACGGCAAATGTATTAACATCTAAATGTATTAACGTCTATAAGTATTAACGTCGTTAACATGTTACTTGAAAATCATGTTGTTTCATGTCTGCATTACAAATTCAATTTCTAATTATTTTCTTATGCACAGTGATTGGGGTAAACTTTTTTTATTTTTATTTTTTAAGTAAAAATATAACTGGCTTAGGAAATACGAATGTTTATGCCAAATTTTTTTTAAATATTCTTATTTAAGTAATTAAATTCAATAATACTTAAGCTCTCAAGTAAAATCGATTTTTATTTAACATTTGGCACTACTGTTGTACTCTATCCGATATCTTGATGGTTATTTTTGCTAAAATTTGAAAAGGAATAATCGCTTTCTCTGATAAATACTTACGTGTCCTGCCGGGGATTGAGGAATGAATTACATGCCCAATCACAATTTTTACATACCTTGGACATTGCGGTGTATATGTCGTTTTCGAGCCCTGGTATGATTTATTTTTTTTATCGTTTAGTTAGAATAGCGATGTCTAAGCTGACGTCACTTCACTTACCTGTCTACTGGAAACGCATCAATGATTAATTAATTATAGATGACAAACAATAGGAATACGTTTCTATTAGGACAGAAAGTTGAATTGTTTAATAGGATTGACGCAAACGATAATTGATTGAGAATTTCCACTCAAGTGATATAGTTCAACCTCTGGCTTAGATATCTCTATTTTCCAATGAATACAAGAGTCTAAACAAATAAAAACCTCACGAAACTGGTGGAAAAGAGTTTTATTTTTTCTTTTCGTTGGCAATGACTACATTATTTGACTGAATTAGTATGTTACACCGCAATGGCGCAATGAAGGATGCTATGCTCAAGAATCAGAGCAATAGGAGATGGTAGAATACAATTTTTATCGTGCTTCATTTGTTCGCAAGGGATAAAAGTGGCAAAATTCGGATAGTTTTTACAAAAGTAAAACTTTAATCCTTTAGTAAGTAAAACTTTAATCCTATTCTGTCATTAAAGCAACAACCAATCAAAATTTTAATGATTGAAATATGCGTACATTGTAAAAAATCCCAGATCAAATTACGATAAAGAGCACCAGCATTTAGGGTGCTGGTACTTTTTACCACAAAATACATTTTTATAGCTAAAATTTTATGAACAGAATAACGTTTTTATTACGCATTGTTTTTGTAGGGGAAAATTCTGCCAAGTTGTCAGCGATTAGTCCAGCAGTGGACTAAGACTATCGTAAATACACGGTTCCCAGTAGAATACCGAATTCAAGCATCATTGGCTGCGGTAAGTAAGCAGGTGGGTGACCAATTTGAGGTGGGTGGCAACGTAGGGACGGTATTGGTCCTCGTTAAACTGTTCTACCGTAAAGAGCTCGACTTCGCACTCAGGTTGTCAGGCTATCAAAGCAGGGAAGTCATTCCCTCTCCAGGGGAACAAAAATGCGATGGTATGTCTTAGGATCTTCTTCAGGGATGTTTCCCAGGCCTTCGCCACTTCGCCAATTGCCCCTTGCGCTGCTCTAGTGGGATGGAAATAAAGTACCTACCAATCTGTCAGCGAATTCTCGGATATTTCCCTTTCTAACGCGTCTTAAGTCTCGAAACTTCGGGGACATTGTTGTTGTTGTTGTTAATTTACGTCGCACTAGAGCTGCACAATGGGCTATTGGCGACGGTCTGGGAAACATCCCGGAGGATGATCCGAAGACATGCCATCACAATTTCGATCCTCTGTGGAGGGGATGGCACCCCCGCTTCGGTAGCCCGACGATCTGCGCGCGAAGTTGAGCCCTTTACGGTAGCACAGTTTAACGTGGACCAATACCTCACACCCTCGGTCCCTACGCAGACTGATCCAAGTGGTCACCCACCCGCACACTGACCGCAGCCAGTGATGCTTGACTTCGGTGATCTGCTGGGAACCGTGTCTTAACGATCAGTCCACTATCGGACTCGGGGACATTATGATAAGGTTTTTGTCATCAGAAATGTCACACCACTGCCTATCGTTGCAAGATCGTCGTTAAGTTGGTGAACAAAATAGTCTCCAACTTAACGACGATCCCACTGTCAGTGAGAAAGCCTTTTCATCTCTTTTACGTCTAAATTGTGTGCTGTTAAAATGCGTAAAGACGCCAAGCTAAATTGCATATGTTTGGGAAAATGTGTGCTAGTTAAAAAATAATTACAGATTATAAACACATTAAAAACAATAATATAAAAGAATCACACATTTTCATCGAAAGGAAATTTTTCATGTTGTAGAAAGTTACTTAGGGTGTTCCGTTATTTTTTATTTCTCTCACTGTATCTGTATCAGAGTAAACTAATGTTTAAAAAGGCGCATGCGAATTTAATTACTATATTATACATACTCTTTTTAACATTTCCAAATCTTTGATCACCACATAAAGATCCTCTCCCAAATAATATCCAAATACATCACCGTATTTTTGGAGCCATTCACCAATGATGTCACTCGGATTTGGTTTCTTTTTTAGGTGATACATATTCCCAGCAAAGAAATCAGGTTTCGGTCCGGGTACTCCACATTTTTTTAAAGTTTGGTGTATTCTAAGTCTACGGATGGTCCATAGGGTCAAAACAAAACACAAACTTGTGAAGATGACGCCGAGAATGAGGGCAATATCCATGGTCAAGCTGCAATAAAAACAAAAATAAATTATCTTGTTTAAAATTCTCATGGGAAAAAAGCCTATGCGCGTCCATAACTTATTAATTTTGAAATTAATAAGTGATGGTTGTTGTAAAATAATTTTATCATCCATCTGTTTTTAAAATGACTAATAATTTTCGAAATGAATGCAATTTTTTTTAGTCATGAAGTAAAATATTTGTAAGCATTAAACATTATCACCAGTGATATTCAACATCTTGATGTTTATATGCATTCTAAAGATATAATTAGTAAGTAAGTTGTAACTTAACATGTTCTTTTACTAAACTTTACAGTTTAGGCAGCGATGATGCTTTGGAAAGATGATGCTAGTAGAAAGTTGAATAAAATCAGATTCAGAATTGTAAATTAAGCACAGCATTTTGTAAGCTCAAACAATGAAGTACAATAATCAATCAATTAGATAAAATATAAAAATAAATGAAATAAAAATTATATGAAAAATAACCATTAAATTAACACGATTTATGAAACATTGCAACATTATTTAGCGTTATTATGGTTACGTTACTAAGTTAAAAATTGCTTATAATATAATTAAATTATCCAAAAATAAAATGGTCATAAAGCCCTCTCCACCCAGTGGTCATATTTAAGCAATCTTTTTGTTTAAGTTTTCAGATTATCTTCACAAAATATGAAAAACATTAAAACGCATAACTTTTATTGCTATGCCTCGGATTTAAAGAGGATGATAAAAATGAATTCATTTTGGGAATTGCATTGGCATTGAAAAGAAGATGATTAAAATGAATTCACATTTTACATGAATTTAGTTTTGGAAATTACTTACCTGAAAGTAGCTCTTTATCAGAAGATATGCCACAAACATTCTACGTAGACAATGCTTGAAATATATTTATTTATTTTTAGTGTCTCATATTTTTTGTTTATTTTATTACGATAAAAGGTAAAACGTCCTTTGTACTGCAAAGTAATGGTTATCAGAATTGATAAGATATTTTAACGCGTGTTGGCTGTGATGATTTTTAACTTATTAGAAAGTAATTTAAAAACATTTTATATAAATGTTAAATTAAGTATCTAGTGATTTTATATTTACACTGTTTTGCATAATATTTAAAGCATAAATAATAGTTCTCTACTTAGATTGGTTTACATAAAAAATTCAACATATATGATAATTTCTACAACCACACTTGCACTAACCACAGTGCTGACTTAAAGTATCCTCAGTGGTAGATGAATCATAGCTTAGAGTCCCCTTGCCGCCAGACTAACCGTGGGAGGATCGCGTGTCACGGTTTTTCCCTTCATGTAACTCAAATGCTGGTTGGTTCCATCAAAAAGTTCTCCACGAAGGCAAATTTCTCCTAATACTTGATCCAGGAGTTTCTTTGTCTTCTGGATTGGGTTCGAAATTACAAGGCTACAGAGTTGAACATTAGTAGTCGTAATCCTCAAAAATTAGGTCGGTTGTTCAATGACAGATATGAAATAAAATATATGATAATTCGACAGGAACAATTGTTTTAGAATAATTATAATTAGAACATATTGAAATTGCAATTTGTTTCTGTAAAATAATTTATCTAAAACTTTTCTGTACACATGCTACTTTTTAAACACCTCCCTGGCTATGTACTACTAGGATCTTTACTGAACATGATTTATTACTTATAAATGCTCACTAATGAATTATTAATAACAAAATATATATAACTTTACAGATAAAAATGAATTTGTCTCATATTGTAGTAAGACCGTTTTGTGGACGTTTTGGCTATAATTTGTTTCTGTAAATTAATTTATCTAAAAATTTTCTGAGCGCATTTTTTAACCACTTTCTTTACTATATACTACTAGGATCATTGCCGAATCATTACTTATCCATATGAAATGTTCGCATCTGATTTTTTTTTGTCGTATGCCTGTTTAGGCAATAGGGGTGCGATGGTTCTTGTTTCTCAGTGGCGCCATCTATGGCCAGGAATTCGACTTCTGCCACGCCATTCACACAACCACAACCCGTTTGTAGGGCGGGTCACATTCAAACACAAAGGAGAAAGGACATAGACGCACAGAGAGAACACAAAGACACACACGAAGACACACAAAGATACACAGAGAGAAAAAGAAACATCCATGTCTTGCCCGGGATTCGAACCCATGACCTTTCTGATGCAAGGATAGTTCCCTGCCCCCTACACAGGCCGGTAGGTATATGAATCATTAATAAAAAAATATATCTATCTTTATATAAAACATTTTCATTATAGTGCAAATGAATACTAAAGTATGATTTCTAGAATTGTTCGCATTAGAAATTTTATTTAAGTAAGAAAAAATTTATTAAAAAATATAATATTTGGAGTATTTATATTAGAGCTTATATCACAGTGTAAATGAGCATAGTGTATAATTTCTAGAAATGTCCGTATTAGAATTTCTATTGAACTATAAAAGAAAGTATAAAATTTTATATTTAAAATTTCTATTATATTCTTATGAGATTCCCTTATTAGAATTTGTATCATAATATAGATGAATTAAATTATTAAAAACAATTCCACAAAACAAATAATAACTATAGTGTTGCTGAAAGATTGAGAAACACTCAAGTTTAAGGTGTCACATAAGGCAAATTAAATAAACTAGTGGGTTGCGCCCCCTGCTCGCTAACGCTCGTCAACCCCAGAAAATTGCTACACAATCTTATATGGTTTGCTTCGCAAACCAAGCTCGCGCTACTAACTTAGGTACACTGCAAATGCACAAAATTCTAAGAATTCAAAACAATCACTCAAATTCATAAAAAATTTTTTTTTTAAAAAAATTACATCTTTTCAGTAAATACTAAGTCATTAAAATAAATTTGAATTCAAATAAATGACATGTAATTCGTTAAACCTATTAGAAATGTGCTATAGTATAAAATCTTAAAGCGTAACAGCACGACTGAGACTCATTTTTCAATGAATAACTAATAACAATAATAAAACAAATAAATTCGTGATATAAATCAAAAATCGTCAAATAAATTCGTAATATATAAATTCGTGAAAAAAAGCGCTTTCGACAAAATACTAAAATAGAGATCTATCGACAAAGACTACTCACTTCTGTCTAGCTTAATAGTATGAGATTGCCGCAGCTTTAGGGTGAATTTCGGAAGAGATCACATTTGGTGAGAATGCTCTCTCTGGTTATTTCAGTTTCCGTTTTTAAAAGAACTATATGTTGAGCCACCTCAGCTAGATTCGGCATGTATGTGACATTTTTAGCGGCAATCATTGGTCGATTTTGTAGCGTTGCCATTCGGGGAGTTGTAATGAGGCTTTTTTTTGTCACCGTGTAAGAGAAATACATATATAGATACATAACATTTCACTAACAACTCAATAGTACTTATATTATTACTTACCGCAACCTAACAAAATAAATCACTGAAGTTGGAATAAAGTAGAAGTTTAAAGCCGTGTTTTACAGCACGTGGTCATAAGAGATTTAACGATTTTTCCAAGAACTGGCAAATTGAAAAATGATTTATCATATCTATTTCGTCAATTTTGAGAAAACATATTTAGAAGTTTAAATGGGTAAAAAATCATTGAAAATGTACAAAAATTTTGAAAATTAGTTAATACTTTTAAAAATTTCAAAAAAAGCACTGAAATTAAAGAGAGTTCCCACCTCAAAAATGTCAACAAAATTCGGGTCTTAACAATTATGGGCAAGGATGATCTAATCAACAGTAATCTTTTCAGGGTCATCTAATCGAGGGTATTCACGCACCTCTGCACGCTTCGGATAGGGGTAGGCATTTAAGGCACCTGAATACCTTCATAGGTAAAAATATAAGCATTTTGAATCTGAAATTTTTTTATTTGAATAATTGTGTGCATTATACACTAAAACAAGATATGAATACAAAAAAAAAAAAAAAAATGAAAACGTAAAATAATAGTTTAAGTGAACTAATCCGTAATCTATAGTTAGACAGATGAATAGAAAGCATTCATGCAAAATTTCAAGCAATTCGAATTAAAATTTTGTGAGATATTGCATTCCAAGTGAAGAGCGGAATTATCAATATAATTACCAAAATTAATGATTTTTGAAATCATCTTGCTTTTTGATTAAAAAACTTCACCCACTACAAAAATATACAGATTTAATGTAACAGTCAACATGTTTCAGTTTCAAGCGCTCAAACATTGGGGCCCATTTTCAAGACTTGCCAGACGTGAATGAGAAGAAACAAAAGTGATTTGAAATATAAAAAGTGATTTGAAACGTAAAGTAGAGTGCCTGTATTTTACTCTCGGCACTCTAACGTAAAGTTGTCAACGAAAGCGCTTGAATATGTCGACTTTTAAATCCAATCTGTATATTTTTGATGTGAGTGAAGATTTTTAATTAAGTAATATCCCACCACTTCAGTTTCCTAAGATTATTTATTACATCATAGCTTCTGTTCGATTTGACTTAGAAACAAATCTCAAACTGTTTCAGAAAGATAAAAGTTCATAGTTCTGTTTCGTATAAGAAACAGAATGATTTTTTTAGTCAAAATCGGCTTCAAAAATTTAGTCGAGTACCTTAAAATTTCAAAAATAAAAAAATAAGGGACACCCTTATAGTATATACCTGTATACAAAACTTTCATATGGTAATTGATAAAAGGGAGTTTGAAAATTCAAGGGTTTATCATTCTTTTCGTAATATTCTTGAATATTATGAATTTAACCGATATATCATTTGAACTATACGCAAGGATGGTAAAAAGGAAACATTGAAATAAATTTGGAAAAACGAAGCCTAAATTACATAGTATTGAATAGAAAACAAATAACAATGTCATCGGATTTTTTTCCAGCCAGCTGTGGTGCACCTTATTGATTTTAGATTCAAAATATGGACTTTTTCAATAATAATACTGCATGATTATATAGAAAAACAATTCTATCTTATTGTTAACTATATATTCAGTTTAATGCAGATTAATATTTATATATTATTCAGTGTTATTTACCATGTTGCTGTTAGGGACAAGACTTCACACCAATATTACTATTTTGTTTTGTTTTCATTTAAAATTTTTTTATTTATTATATACTAATATGCATCGTCACTTTTCAATCAGTACCAGCTGTTATTTCGCTAATGGCCAGCACTTATGTTTTTGTTGGGATCTTATCCTAACTCCACATAATAATTCTGGAACCACAAATCTTACTGAACAAGTAACCAATGCACTAAATGATACGGCATCTGTTGGAATATTTATTATAAATTTGGTAAATATTTTTCCCTGTTGTTGGTGTCATGCAAGTAAGAATTATGCTATCGTATATTTCAATAGATGAAAATTAAACTAAAGTTACATTTTTGAATAAAGGACGGATCATTTTGTAAGTAATGAGCTTAAATATTAAGGAACTTGTAGTCAAAGTACTAACTTTTTGTTTGTAATATGTAACTGTTTAAAAAATTGTTACTCGAACTGTTACTCGAATACTCGTTTTTCGAATCGGGAAAAATGTAAATAATCAAACCATTATTAATAAACCTTCAGCTTATCTTCTTCTTCTTCTTCGGCACGACGGCCCCTTACAGGCCTTGGCTGCCTCCACCACGTGTAGCCTCCCATCCATGGCGACTTTTTTCCAGTTGTAAATCTTAATTACTTTGAGATCTTTAGTAGTGTCATCCAGCCATCTAGTTGGAGGTCTTCCTCTGGCCCATAATCCAGAAGGATTTTTAAAATTGGCGATTCGTACTGCATTGTTTTCTGGACCTCTCCAGATATGGCCAAGCCATCTTAATCTATGCCTTCGGCTTATACCGACACTATTAAACAACTTATTACAATTCCATTATTTATTTAT